TATGCATTAAATGCTTGCTTATATACATTTATTATCTAGATATGATCTTAAAGATTTTTTCCTTAAATAGTTTTATTAAATTATGCATTAATGATTTTACTGATATTTATTGTAATTAATATTTGTCGAGTAATATTTTTTAACTTTTATTTAATTATATAAAATTAATATTTCTTAAAAAATTAACATTATTTATCATTTAAAAGATAATGATCACATCATTAAATGATTTTATTAATGGCTAGATAATAAAATTATATTAGTTGTTCTTTAAAATTTCGACATGTTATTTATTTGTATATTATTGTCAACTATGATTGTGTTTTTATCACTTTTTTTTTTTGTTATGTTTCAAAAATGAACTTATTGTAAAATATTTTTCTATTGTATAGCATGTTAATTAAACTATAAAGCCTTAGGATGAAAATTAAAAAAAAAATCTCTTGATTATGTAAGAGATATATTTTTTGGCAATTGCTAAACCATTTTTTTTTTAAAAAAAAAAATATTATGAGAAAATTGAATTCTAAAAAACATTTGTGTGTATTTTGTAAACATTTATACTCTAAGTTTTATTTTGAATTTCATTACATAAAAAAGACTACTTCTATAACTTTTATAAATAATAATATGACATTATATGATTATAAATTTTATAATAAAATAATAATTGAGTATTATATGGTGAACAAGAATAAAATTTTTTTTATATCAATGAATAAATATGTATTCTAAAATCAAACAAATATTAGTATGACGCGTTAGCGGAATTATATATTAATTAACATGTTAATTTTTTGGCTTAAATAAACGCCACTTATTAAAAGATGTGAAATATGGATGATCAAAGTCTATTATTTTTTTGTCTAGATGGACAAGTCCTATAAAAATAATTAATTTATTATATGTATCACGTGCATCGCACGAGGTATGGACTAGTTATTATTATTATATTTCAAATTCAAGCTCCTCATGATCAATTAATGAACATGCTTCTGAAGAATAATAATGTCGGCCAATCCGTACACGTCTCTTCCACAAATGGGAACACGTACGGAGCTCATTGAGGTGGGAATCAACTTTCATTAATTATCACTAAATAAATTACTCCGTACAAATGTAAATTTTGTCTACTTATAAATGCTTATAAGCTGTGCTGCTCCTCCCTACGTAGCTAACAGCTGTCAATTTTTTTGTTAACGCTAACCGGCGGGATTTGCTTCAAAGTGACTGGAGTGTTAATATCCAACACACATACAGGGAAGTGAACTTTACGGTTGATCATATGACGAGCATAGCGAAATCATACCGAATTGGTTACGTCGTCTGGTCTCCCCACTTGAGGGATTAGGTGCTTGGTTTGATCATGATAATATCAGGGTGCCGTACCCCTGTCGACAGTGGCGGAGCCACACCTTGTGGCTGGGGTCAGCTGACCCCTATGAATTTCAAAATTTTTAGTATAAAATACTGTTCAAACACTGTTTACTAGGTTAATGACCCCGCTAAAAAATATTGCCGACCCCGGTGAAATTTGAGGCTGGCTTCGCCCCTGCCTGTCGAGTATTAGCTTAGACCTTTTGGCCTCTTTCTTTGCAGCCAAAAAAAAAAAAACAAACAAACACAGCGTCATTTTTTTTAGAGAAATGTTATAGGTATATAATATTGTACATAGATGTGTATATAATTCTCACATTAAAGGAGTCCTACCAAAAAGAAAAAATCAAGTGGTCTCATCCATAAGAGTGTTATGTACATCTCTATATACATTTATTATGTACTTGTAATATTTTTCTTATATATAGGCTATTCTTATAGTTATTTTAGTTAGGGATGAAAACGGAAACGGTAATTTTCGATTACCGGGAATCGTTTTCGAAATATTTTCGGATTTGGAGGCTAATCGGAAACGGTAACCGGAAAAACGGAAATGGAAACGGTAAAAAAATTCGAAAATGAAAACGAAAACGGTTTAGCCCTTTTCCGATCGTTTTTGAAAATTACCATATTTAAACGGTATTTTACCGTCGGTAATACCGGCCCAACCCATACTAGGCTCACT